ATAATACAACATTCCTCACGAATCCCAGAGGTAGCAAAGAAGACAGTTTTTGGGGTGAAGGTCCGATTTTGCTTGTGTCGGCGGGTCTTCTCCTCGAGGGAGCCACACGGCACTGTGCTTGTTAGAATCGTAGAGGACCCAACTCTCATCTCTCGTAATCATGCCTTCCAAAAACTCCTTTCGGTGCGGACAAAGAAGGAGAAACTGACAAATGGGTACCCGCCTGAACCGCGTGCTATCGGTCAAGACATGAGGGATCCATCGAGTCAGCACTTTCCTGTGGCGAGGGCGTGGAGGGGACCGAGGACTGTGGGATGGGTGCACCCGAGTCTTATCACAAGGCTGCGGGTGCTAACCTCCGGATCCTCTTCGACAGCGCCGAGAACGGTGGAGTCTTCCACTGTTTGGGGGCTTCCCAACCTTGTCTTGTCTTCGGAAGCCGTGTCTCCTCCTTCGAAGCCTGCGAACCAGAGCTTGGCACTGATGATGGAAGTGGTGTCCCTTCCCAATGCGATGCTGATAATGTTGACGGTTCCACTGCTCCTGTGCCGCAGCGCCATTCATTGAAGATGATCGCTCGAAAGTGCTCTTGTGGAATCGACATCATGATTAAAGTTAAAGAAGGCAACCCGGCAATATATACCTACTGCGGAGAAGTATGATCGACAGCGATAATCTATCACGTAGCAGATTCTAGGTATCGATCAATAAGCGAAAGTTCTGGAGCTTTCGAAAAATCGGCTCAGGACTTTCTTACCATCGCAAGTACTCTGATGTGTTTTAAGACCCGTGGGGCCGAGCATATGAGGATAAGATCACATTGGAATTAACTGTTCTTTTGTGCAGCCAATTTCCCCACTTACTTCTTCACCTAACGCTAAACTTCGATGTGAACCAACAAACAGACAGACGGCGCATTATAGACGAGGGAAAATTCTTACTTATGGTTCTTTTATTCTGTGAGATACTGTTGCAGAACACAGCACAGAACGCTAATTACGACCAAAACCATTTTAAGGTGCTAACATGGTTGGGGGACCACGCGGCGGCGCGGTACTTTGTTCGTCTGTTCCTCCAAAGGCTTAGTCCCCGATGGCGCGTATTTTGAAACTGCCACGTGATGGCGAAATAGTAACTGCTCCTGGGACTAACGATAAACCTTGGAGTTACCAGAGTCAACCCTGCGTTGCGCGTTTTCAACGGCCACGTTGCGCAGTTTCGCCCGATTAGACACGTTCTCTCGCGCGAACATTCACACTCGCATGCTCGAGCCGTCTGCGTCTCCGCCCATACAGCGTGCGTTGAGGATCTCTCAACGTGCCGTTGCGAACTGCGCAACGCAGGGTTGACTCTGTGCTCGTTGTCAGGAAACAAGACGAACAGAGCGCCGCGCCCGACAGAGGACGAGAGGAGGAGTCAGGATTGGATCATGAGGACCGTGGTCCCCCCCAACTAAGTTGGCACCCATTTTAATTGCATGTGACAGCTTAACTAAGTCTCAACTAAGTAGAATAAATTACCTTGACTTCTTCGGTGCGATTTTGAGCGTCGCGCCTTTGATTGTAGTGACAAAAATGGCACTACTTTCGAATAAGCTGATTATAACAAAATTAAAACAAATTTACTGAATGAATAGGTGACGTAATTACAGAGAACATGAAAGAAGTCAATATAATTTTATACGTGGTGTTTCAATGTGTACATTTCAACTTTTGAGGGGCTGTGCTTCACCATTGGGAACATCCAGTTCAATAGATTTCCGCCTCGTCGACGTTCTTGTCTTGACCGGAATCACATCTCGTCGAAAGCGTTGCAACACAGTTCGAACGCTACCGCAAACACAAACGCTATCAATACGAGAACGCAAATCGCTCGATGCGTGTTTAGCTGGACTATTGTCAAGTACCCGTATTGCAAGAGAAGGAATTACGGTAAAAATTGAATTACTAATGAGGTACGTCATCCATCCGAATTTCGAAGACTGTGTGACCCCCGATCTCTCGCTGATTAGAGAGGATTTCCGAGAAAGACGAAGTCGAATGGGAAACTCTACCTGTAAGGACAGGCGACCTCCCTGTCCTCCCCCCAGGGTGTGACGCTACGCATCTCGCATCAAAGGATGTGTCCGCAGCGATCCAGCGTGGCCTTCCCTCATGGCCAAAAGGCGCGCCATTGCTCCTTATCGCGTCTTCTCGTGTCTGAGTCTCTAGCCGTTCAGCAGAGAGAGAGCGTTAGCATTGAAAGAGGCAGCACGATAAAAGTCGCCGTCATAATATTAAATTTCAAGAGCAGATCCGTTTCTAGGTACAGACCATTTTTCTCGCTTGGTTTCCTTTTTCGTGCATCACTGACAACCTCTAACCCAATTTCCAATAGGCTGCCTTTTCATCGTGAAATCCGCCTTAGGCCGATGTCAGACTTTGCGAATCGCGCGATTCGCTACTAGCGATTCGCGCGATTCGCAAAGTCGCGTTGCGGTACCAGCCAATTGAGTGATTCACTGGCCGCGACGCGACCGCAGACGCTAGCGAATCGCGCGATTCGCAAAGTCTGACATCGGCCTTATGGCGTCGAATTACGATCATGTATGCTATACGAAGTTATTACGGGACTTCCTGTTTGTTCGAACTGGGGCAATCGCACATTTATTCATACCATTTTCTCCTTCCGAAATCTTAGTCGTTCCGTCACGAGTCGATTCAGTGTTATTTCTCGGTCTTTTATCCCACCTGTGCTCTTCCCCAAATAAACATAATGTAGAATAGGTAATCAGTTTTTACGAGATAATTCCAACGATATGCCAAGTTTTCGTTATCTTATTGTTAGCAAAGGAACCAGCCTGCAAGGCAAGACCTTAGCACCGGTGCAGCTCACTTTTGTGTCGCGACAATGTCGCACCTCTTGTGCTTGGGGACTCCACTTTCACACCCTAGGACTTCTTCTTGGTGTCTGATCCTGACTCGGAGCTTTAACCGGATGAGTTCAGATTGATTCCTCTTAGACGAACACTTTTGTAATTGTAATTATAGATTCGTAATTTCAAATTCTGTCCCGTAGTCCATTTGAAGAACTTGGGCAACTTATTTTACTTAAATGTGACCTACCATTTGAAAGCCAGTGGTGAAGTGAAACGGTTGTGGACGACTGAAATTGTAGATCTGTAGCATTATTGGATGAAGAAGATAAGCACAGAAGGTGATCTTCGACAACGGCATGAAGAACTTCCACCCACCCACACCGACGCCACACACTCACTGGACCTGAAAGTGAATTGCATTCTGTTAGCATCTTGAGGGTAAGCATTGAATGTTTGTTCTCAACTAAGTCTTTCAGGGTTAGAAATTCATTCCCATCGGAATACTTCAATAGAGATTCCAGGCAACCCTTCAATTGCTCTTTCTGATGAAAGCGTATGTTTAGGCCGACATCAGATTTGGCGAATCGAGCGCGCAGTCTGATATCGGCCTTATATGGAATATTGGTAGAACGGTGCGCAGAGTTCAAATTGACATGCGATAGAATTATGCGACATTCAGTATTTGAAACTGCCGCGCATCAGGCAATTTCACGCGATGACTATGAACGCTACATACACGAGAAAAAGCCGCTGAATAGTTCCGGTAGGCTTCGTAATTGACTTTGTTTGGTTGTTCAAACCTCAAACTCTTGAAACTGACCTCCATTTTTGGTAGCGCAAGCGAATGTGACCCGAGCCAGCCGGCGGGATCAGGTGGGCGAGAGGGGGCGGGGAGAGCTAGTCATAAGCATTCGGCCGGCGAACCAACTATAACGCTCTCCAAAACTCCGAGATATCGCCTGTACGGGCATAATCGTACAAGCCGAATACAGAGTACAGGCCTAGCACTGTTGAGCAAGTCCAACCAAGAAGGACCCATTTCTGAAAAAGGAGCTAATGGTGGAACTCTGGTTCAATGAAGGACCATGGAATTGCAGCTGATCGTGAGAGAAAAAATTGACATTTTTCGGTTTGCAAATGTTTTCTACCTCAAATTATTTTGTAATCACCCAGAAAATCAAATTTTTGAAAGAGAAGTCGCCAAAGGGAGCTGGCTAAACATCTAACCTTTGGAATTTTAACGACGGTGTCTTTTTGATTTTGTGTCAGATAGTTCAGAAGGAATCCAACGGTCACGCCAACAATGAACGGACCACAACGAACATATGGTCTCACATAGACATCTTTCCAATATGCGGTCCAATGTTTTTACACTAAAAAAATCATTCATAGCACAACTGACGAGTAAATAAAGGAGAGTTACGATAGGGCAAAGGTCGAAGAGGACCACACACTAGAGGACGTTATAGGCGCCAGCTTCCTAAGATGCGATTGACAGTAATATCGCGCTAAAGATACCCTTGGCGATCAAGCATGGCCCTCCCCGCGCGCGCCGCACGTCATTCGACTAGTTAACCAGTCGCCGCAGGTTGCTAGCCATTCAGCAGGTAGAGCAGAGCCTTAGCGTTGATGAGAGCAGCGCCGATGAGATCAGTGCTAAGGCTTCTGCTGCATCATTGTAAGAAATCAGAGGCCGAAAAGGGTCCCACGCCTCGGGTTATAGTACGTTTTTATTGCTTTTTCTTGTCTCGTGCATCATTAACCATTTCTAGCGTGATCTTGAATGGGCTACCTTTTCATCATGAAATGCTCCTCTAAAAAAGAGCGACGAGGGGCAGCAGATGTTAATTCTATTGTCAGTCGGCATATACTTGTCCTGCAGCACCGGAAATCTTTGGATTACCCATACTAATAATATTGAATTTATTGAAAGTTTTTCCGATCACTCCTACAACATCTTTCCCGTCCTCTGAGCCTGACAAGCACAAATCCGCCTCACTGAGGTGTTTAGTCCTACCCAAAAATAAATAGTTTGAGTGGAGGTTGCGTAGTAGCGCCAGTGGCCCAAAAAAGGAAGCCTTCACTAAGTGACTGAGTGATCTTTCAGAATCCCTTTCATGGTGACATCATGGTTGCATGCTCACCCACATTTGAAGTTTAGCCGTGAGAATTGGAGCCGGTGGATAGTCGTTTTCAATGACAATCCACAGTTGAATAATTGAAGAACCAGCCATCATCAGTCCACCAATCAACATTCCCCAACGAATATTCCTGAACAAAAATACTGATTATAGGACAAACTTTGTCAAATATAGTATTTTCGTACGTGGCAAAGGCGATGAACAAGATAGGAGCAACAACGTAATGCAGCTGAATGTCGTTCGCCAGGTACCATGTCCAACCCATACACTAAAAAAATTGTTATTTTCTCTCGAATCCACTTTCTTAGCGCTGAAAACCAAGCAGCCTGCTGCAAGAACATTGGAAGGCAAACAGTCAAAGATAAAGGACTTGAGCATGAAGAAGAACAGAAAAGTGATATAACAAGACCTAGGCGATCCCCCTTCACTGAAGGTCCCCCTTCTTGATAGGCACGCACTGATTTTAGGGTTGGATTTTACGCCGGCTGTACCGAAATTGGGTGTCGTCTCTTGACAAGTGTTCGTAACGGTAGGGATTCCACGAATTCGGTAGCAAAGGGGAACTATACCTTGGTTGAAAAGGAAGTGGACGCCCTTAAGGTTGGCTAGACGAATACGGGATCAACAGCAAAAAGGTATCCCACTCAGTTGTCAGCAGGGCACCAACGCGACTTCTAGCACCGTTGCCGCCGCACCCCCCCCCCCCCCCCCTCTCAGCCGTCTACTGTGGACGTTAGCAGAGAGAGCGTAAGCGTTAAATGAGGGAAATGTCACCTATTAGACACGCTCTACAAGCTGCAATACAAAAACACAGGAAAAGGATATCCATCACTGTTCGTCTCTCTTGTTTTTTTCTTCATCCTCCATCTCACCGACCACTGCGAATTTTGAAGCGCCAGCCTTTTTCATCCTTTTTCGTATAACCCGCAGAGCCTTTGATCGATTACTTCATCTGAAGCAACAGTCCCAGCAGGGTCTCACCTTCAACGCTAATGCTGTGGAACGACGCGCTAGCCAAGAACATAAGAAGTGTGACAGAACAGCTCGCCTTGGAAAGCCGCTAGAAAAATGGAGCTGAATGGCCTCGAATGGGCGTGGTTGCTCAGTCGGCTGCAATCCCCTTTACTTCCAACATCCGCCACTTCGAAGCCGTTCAGCTCTTCTTTCCAGCGGCTTTCCAAGGCGAGCTGTTCTGTCACACTTCTTGTTCTTGGCTAGCGCATCGTTCCACAGCATTAGCGTTGAAGGTGAGACCCTGCTGGGACTGTTGCTTTGAGGAGAAAGGCACTCGCCACTAATCAATCCTAGGGGTATGCCATGGATCTAGTCCCGCACAGGATGGTGCTATTTCGGACTTAACCCCTGGAATGCGTGTATTACATAGATGGCGCCTCTTATGCTCCTCTGAATTCTCGATGCATCATTATTTCAAGCACCGGCTTATTAATAGTACGGTACGTCTAAACCAAGCATGCGTTTTCTCTTCCCTACCAAACTCTATTCATGGATTTATCGACCTACACATCTTGACCTAAGCAGAAAAGTTGTTCATGTAAATGAAATTAGTCCACCAGGCGAGGCGACATCCTTGCGCGTTCGATAGGTCTCCAGAAAGGCCCCGATGAGACGTATGTGAACAGTGTTACATCGAACAACATAATGACGGCATAGGTGGGTGGCATGAAAAACACCAAAGTTCGAAAATCATTCGACGAGCGTAGTAGAGTGTGGTGGAACACTTCATCCTCAAGAACTCACCTGTATACACGCCTTGACGTGTAGCTCATTACCACATACGGCTTTCGAGGGTTTCGAATAACTTATCTTTAACAGCTTCTTAAAAATCGTACGAAGCCCAGAACAGCGGCTAAAGTAAGATATGGGGTGGAAGAATGAAGGCCTGATCAACATGCCTCAAATTTAAAAAACTCATCCAGTTGTGGACTGATCTTGCGTTGCGTGAACAAGCGAAGTGAACCAAATTGTGAGAAACGAAAACATTCGCGCAAGTTGCTTATAGGCCGAGTTTTAGAAGGCGTTGATCAGAAATAAGGTACAGATGTCTGGTTGCTTCTGCTTTAGCCTCCGAGGATGGTGTCAACTTTATTAGGCTAACGTTTCGGCGCAATCGCTTCTTTGGAGCCTTGTTAGAAGCCGAGCGTTAGAAGGCACCCTTTTGAAAGGTGAAAAGTAGCCGAATTAATACCAATGTCGGTGGCTAAAGCAGAAGAAACTAGACAATTATAATCAAGCCGAAATTAATGGAGAGTCGTTCATGAATGGGTACAGATAGTCGGCGGTGCCGGAACCAAGAAAAAACTATGATACGCTGCCCAGAACCCAAGAAATAGGCCTATCTTGCCCATTTGATTTTCTGCATTGAATGCAATTCTCATCGGTGCTGCCTCTCTCAAAGCGACAGCTCATATTTGCTGACCGTTGACACCTCATCCAGTGGAAGCCAGTGGTGGCGTACCATCACGTCGATCGTGACGCGGAGGCCATGCTAGATCGCAAGGGAATCTTCCTTCGCTAAGAATTACTATGGCCGTTTCCTTAAATGATCCGCACGCCTTGAGGTTCCTGCCCTTTGCCTTCAAATAGTGCTCCTCCTTGGATCTTTCGACTATATGTAATGTAATCATCCTATCAGTGCGAAATGATAAGAGAAAAATTGTTCTCCAAGAGTTTAACACAAAGCAGGCCAAACCTGAGAAGGAAGAAAGAGTCGAACGGCAATGTTGCTTGAAACAATCAATTTGAGTAGAATATTGCGGAACATTGAATCAACCGTTGGAAGATGGTTGTCTGAACAGTCGACATAACATACATATTTTCTGCAAAGGTCAAGTTATTACGAAAGGGCGTAGTAGCAAGCAGCGGTGCTCGCAACGCGCATCGTCTAAGAATCAAATCCTGGGTCGTACGCCATTTAGGCCAACTAAGCTTTCCATCGCTTCGGGGTCGATCAAGTTGTAGAATAATGTTCCGATTATAAAGGTGACACCTTCGCCGCATTGATCACCTTGGTATTTTAGGATTAATCCAAATGATATTGAATCGAGTAACGAAAATGCACAAAATAGAAGTAATGTCAACTTCCTTCTAGGGATTCGCCGTCATATGCTCAAATCAGAACGTATGGCTATAGTAAATTTCTTTCTGCCCATATACAGTGAAACTGCGTGGCCAGTGGCTATGAAAATCACTGTCTCCTCATAGACAGGTCAGCTGCAACCACCGACTCAGAGGGTAGAAGGCTTGGTTGGCTTGAAGGTTCCACAATCATGGTTTGATCCACGAGTCACGCGTTTGGGAGCAGCGATATTTGCTAGAATTTCACCCCTCCTTGCTCAACAAAGTACACTCATAATAGTTCAGCAATTACCTAGTGTGAGGCTCGTTCCAATGTAATAAGTAGGTATGTCCGAGTATAATCCAACACATACTCAAAACGCGAACACCGTGAAGGCAGTTGACTTCGCCCTGAAACGACAATTTTACCACTAGGGAGGACTTCGTTATAACTCTTTCCGACTGAAAAGGAACTGACGTCTTTCTTTGATGTACGAAGGATTTCCACTCCGTTCGTATAGACCGAATAGGACAAGAATTATCCGGATGAACAGATCTTAAATCATACTTCGATATGTATATACAATTCCAAGAAATTTAACCATAAGTGTTACTTCGAGAATCGCACAACTTAATCCTTGTAACCTAGTACAGTGCTTGGTATTACCCTTTGTCCTGTCCTTTTTCAAAATTAGAGTAGAAACCCACTTTTTGCTGGAATTTTTGCTGAAAGGGGTCAAAAGGGAAGAGTACTCCAAGTCGTCCTGGGCGAGATTATAGCATTCATTTGTAATGCTGGGATCATTTGACGTCAGCCTAGGTCTGGTCAAAACGAAATGGGGCCGTTGAGGCCAGAACCAAAATGAATGCAATATTCGTGCCAGGCTCCTCCAATTCGTTTATTTGCAGAGTTTCTAGCAGGAGTATAGGTAAATCCAGTCAAAAATGGAGTCATCAGTCAGAAGAGGTGAGTTGGGACTGTCTTAGATAGGAACTTCTCTGTAAGGAAATGAGATAGAAGAGGAATTGAAGGTGTAAGGGGGAAGCCAATGAACCTGACGCTCCATTCCAAAAAGAAACCCTTCAAGAGAAACAATAATTTGCGTAATCGCAAATACGGGTGTATTCAGTTGGCAATGCATTAAAACCGCTCAAAATATCTCTGTTGATAGGGAACAAGCCTTGGAACGGAGGAACGTGAGCAGTTTTCATTTCTGTGAATCCTGCTCCTTCCCAGGCTTAACACTAAAGGATGCCCCCGTATTTTGCGATAGCGCCGTTTTTTCATTGATAATCTTTTTAACTGCTGCAGAAAACTAATTTAACTTAACACATTGCGATCCGCACGTTCATGATGCTTCGTATATTTTTCAAAATATGTCATAATTAATCCATCAACAATTTTATCAGCAATGACACGTATGGTTTCCCGGCTCTGGAAATGAGTGCAAACAGTTCAAGAGCATTGAAAAATGTCAAATAAATCAGATAAAACTAGGCTTCGTTGAATCGTGCGCCCCGTGGTGAGCTGCAACGCGGTAACGCTAATGAAGTCAAATTAAGAGTAGAGTATAGTTTTCGGAAAGTCGAACTGCTGAAACTAACGATCTGTTTTTCGTTCCAAAGCCGGGAGGATGTCAAGCGTTGGTTGATGAATGAACAAATCGTACAGAGTTCCGAACACCATCATGATCAATGTGAAAGTCAAAAAGTACCTAAAGGATTTGTAATTGCTTTCCTATTTGGAAGAGTAGCATTATTTAAGGCGATTATGCGAGCAATACTCACAGTGCTACCATCGACATCCAACTGCTGCTCATAGCATTCTCCTTACTTTCGTGACGACACTCGACATTCACATTGCAAACGGCTTCTCTACGGCTGCGCTCTCAGCTAGCCGGACAGCTGAAAATATCAGAATCATGGCGATCAGGGGAAAAATTAGGGAGCAAGAGAAGGAGTCCCTCACGTCTGGCTACTCACTCACTCTCCCATACCATGCCGGTAATTGACATTGACAAAATGCAACCCAACGCCATTCCACACTTATAACTAGCCCCCCTTGCTTCCCGCCGCTGCCTCGTATTCGTTAGGGCGGACCCGTGCAAACGATCTTATATCACTAACGGCTACTAGTGGTCTCTAAGCTCGATAGCTCCAGCTTTCACCTAGTTCTAGGGTTTACTATACAGCCGAGTGCGCACAACACATTGCTGTTAACTCAACTTCACGAGCTTCATGAATCTTTCTGGAAGTAGTCCTCACCCAGCTGGTCAGTCAAGTAGTTGGCCACTTGTATTATAACATTACTCATTGATTGAACGGAACAAATACTAAAACTCAACACAACTTTACAAAATCCCTCAACATTCAATTCTTCAGAAAAAGAGCAGAAAGAAACGTCAATCTATTCACGCAGCAAGTCCTCTATATTGTGGAAAGTTGTCCAGAACTCGTATCGTAAATATTTCAGCACCGGACAGGAGACTGACCACTGACGTTTTTGACATTGATCTTCATCCACATTCCCACTAGCCGCGAATTTTCCTGCTTAAAGCAAGCTTTTGCTCAGTTCACTGCAGATATACTCCCTTCCCTGAAGAAAGGCCGTGAGTGGCCATGCAGCGGCGCCTCTAGACATGTCGCTAAGACACTAGGCGTTTAAAACCTGGATACAAGTACGACCAGAAGGATCCGTGGCCGCCCACCGCTTCGATTTCTTATAAGTGCGCGATGTTGATACCCCATGTTCTCGACACGGACTTATGTTTCATCTCTGATTTTTTCACATTATCTTGTTTCGCTATCTAATAATCTATCAATAAGACCAAGTAGTGAAGAAATGGCTAAAATGGTACCCAGACACAAATCAGTTAAGTAGCAGAAGTAAATCTACCGAAGGTTATCATCCGAGTGACGTCGTAGTCGGTACATGAATCTGGCATGCACACACCGAAGTTGAGCATTGGAACAAGCGTGAAACAGCGACCATCGTCGTCCTCTTCAGCGCTTGAATTAGCCTTGCTGCTGCAAAAATGGGTTAAAGCAGAAATCATTGCTGATCAATCGTTATGGGATACGCCACACATTCGTCTTCAACAGATCGTGGTGGAATATGAATGCATCTCTGGTTCACATAATGAGTTGCTGGGTAAACGAATGCAAGAATTAGTTTTTTAATATCCCCCGACAAATCTGGTTCTAACTAACCAACATCCGGGACGAAGGTTCGTTTGTCCTGGATGGGTTTTGTCCTGGCAAACGATCTCCTGTAGCATAAGCGTGGTGAGCGGCACTACACGCCCTTTTACCTTGACTCACAAAGCGTGCTACTAATGAAAAGGTAGCCAACTAGAAACCCCGGGATGTTAATTCAAGACGTGGAGCGTTTTCTCAAAGGGTTAGTGTGTTTTGTGGGAGTACTTGCATGGAACATAGAGAGGGGGGGGGGGAAGTTTTTTTGTGAGCGACTCTGAGAATGCCAACAAGAAGTGAAACAATGGCATGTGATCCCCGCTGAAAGCAAAATTTCGCTTTTTTCTAGATTTAATTTTTTGTGATTATATCTGTATAAAAATTTTCTCTGCACAAAAACTTTCCAAAATACAGCTGATAAACGCTACAAATGCTGCGCACTACTACACAAGAAACTTGCACCGAGTTCACTTCCAATGAGAAATTTTTCTTTCTAGCAATCCGAGAGCTGTTCAGAAAAATAGCTTATTTGACCCTTAGGGGAAAATGATCTGGTTGCGGATAGCACCGAGTTCGGATGTGTGGTCCAATGGGTAGATCTCGGATGGGATCGCACAGAGTGAGTCAGCGATTGGTGATGGCTCAAAACCGGAGTTTGCGATGGAAAAAGCAGCAACCCAGTAGAAATCATATCCAGATAAGTGGTGCAAGGAAGAAGAAAAAGCATGTGAAACGGCCTGTAATTCAAAATTGGGACCCCTTCTTGCTCGTCGGTTTCCGCATTGGTACGACTCGGCGCGGTATGGTCCTGCTAGACCGGGCACATGATCTTCGGCATGCCAGTTGGTTGTTAGAGTCACGACCGAGTAGAGGGGTAGGAGTGCAACGGCGCGCGTGGGCGAGGGGTGTGGTCTTAGCAGGCCACTGGGAGCATACTCTCCGCTGTGAAACGAGCATTGTGCTGCATTTTTAAGGATTTTTACTTTTTACTTGGGTATGTTCCCTCTCTTCGTCCAGCGACCTATCGTGAAATCCCTCCTTTGGTGTTAATTTAATTGAGAGAAGAACACCAATTTGAACCCTTCATTTGGCTTCTACAGCGCTAGCTATCACACAAAGTGGCTAGACTGGACAAAAAATGTAATAAAAAGAGATAAAAAACTATTCCAAATAGAAAGATTAAGAATTCATCAGTTACTGGTTTCACATCCGCCCAAAAAAGTATAGGACTTACGAAAACATACAAAAGAGCAATGCAAATAAAAAAAAGAGTGAACGCGAATAAGGAAGTCGACAGATTTCTGAAGGGTCTATGGGAAAATAGTAACTCACAAGCAATGAGCATCGACTGCCCCGCCTGCATCAAGAACTTTCAGCGGATTGTTCCTCTCGTAGGCTTCCAGATGTGCCATGCAGTATTGACCATTCCACTTCTGACTGTAAACTCGTCACTTGGATGCTTTGCAGAGGCTAATGAGAGTGCCCGAATTCTTACCCTTGATTATTTTTCACACAACATGAATTTTCCTGCAGGTATGCCATGACCCAACCCAAAGATTGTTCCCAGCAGTGATTTCCTGACGGCACTTTTCCCATAGCGTCCAACACTGAAAAGGAAGTTAATCGTCACAACCTTCAGCAGATCAGATAAAAGTCGAATTAGAAGGACTTAAGGCACCCGAATCGTTAAATTTGGAAAGGTAACTGTCAAGAACGGTGAAAACTCGCCGTTGAATATCCATTGCCGTTCGTTCTTCTTCTGCTGGAAGAATGGCGTACACTTACAATCAGTGCAATTACGATATTCTTCAACATATGTGGCATACTCCACGGCTGTCCAGAGTAATGCAGTAGGTCAGAAAGACACGCTAACCAATCTTCGAAGAATTTCATCAAAATATTACAGTGCCCACAACACACCACATTTACTTCTTTCACAAAACATGGTGTGAATGGTTTGGCTTGCAAGCCCGTATACCTCTTCTGGAGTTCTTTTTCTGGTTGTTTACAGACACCATAGAATTCAATCTCAGCTCAACTATATGTTCCCAAGTTTCCTCGGTTTCGTTGGAAGACTTGATTCCAATTTGCCTCTCATGGTATTTTGAAATTTTTTCTTTCATCTATGCATTACGTTATTTTTGTTTTGACTTGTTTCATTTATTTTGATTTTTTTTAATTACCAAACAAAAAACGCAATTTTTACGAGTCCTGCAATTTCTTCCCACAGTTTCTTCTCGCGAAGAGGGGTGGTGTAGTAGCAAGGGCGTTTGCTTGCCACCGCCGCACGGTCTGTGATCGAAATGCTGCGATCACACTTCGCCACATGCATCCCATCCTCTAGCATTAGTACCAAACCTATCTGGGAAGGTAATACATCCCTTTCTGATGGCACAAACGGAGGACACTCTTCTGTTGAGTCTCCTTTTCAGGGCAGTGGAAACGGAGCTGAAGGACTACTTTGATCCCCACCCTTAGGATAAATTCAAACACAAGTTTAAAGAATTATATTAAAGTTCAGTAACAAGATCGCGATCCATATTGTTATAAAACGAAATAGTTCGGTTCAATTCGTACCTTTCTTGAACATATAATTTCATTGTTCATCGGCCGGCCTTCGCAAGTCATTGGATGCGGACCACATTCAAAAATGCACTACGTTTGACTGGGAGGAGAATTCGTGGCGCAACCCAGAGGTTCGAAGTAACACCAAAAACGCTCCGGTCACTTTATATTTATCTTTTTTATTTTACGAATCCAAAATGGAGCTGGCTTGAAGTGCTAAGTGGAGCCAACTTACCACCTCCAGCGGTAGGAAGGACCTCATCCCAAAATTGATTCTCCCTTAAACCAGACTTGTAATCCGAGTTCGATTGGTTCCGTACTTAGGCTGCCTAAAGGAACAAAACATGTTTCACAAGAATGCTGGGTTGTGAACAAAACTTTCGCCCCAGGCGGGACTAGAACCCGCACCTCTCGCTTTCCGGGCAAGTGCGCTACCAGTTACGCTACCGGGGCACCATTTCATTCCAACTCAGCTTTTCATGGTATACGTACCCAGCATTCTTGTGAAACATTCGCAACGCGAACTGCGGCGTTAAAACAGCAGTTAACAAACAAAACAAGTCAAAATCATTGCTAAAGCTTTCAGCCTCGCGGTCATTGCCGATATCGGCTAACCGGCTCAACACGTTAGACGTGTGAGTGCTGAAAGCTATGGTACGTATACCATGAAAAGCTGAGTTGGAATGAAATGGTGCCCCGGTAGCGTAACTGGTAGCGCACTTGCCCGGAAAGCGAGAGGTGCGGGTTCTAGTCCCGCCTGGGGCGAAAGTTTTGTTCACAACCCAGCATTCTTGTGAAACATTCGCAAGGCGAACTGCGGCAAAAACAGCAGTTAACAAACAAAAACAAGTCAAATACTCTACGTCGACTATAAACCCCAAGTAATTGTACAGCAGCGTACCATAGAAATTCCGTATTGAAACTGAATGCATCCCAGGAAGGGCTGACTGACGCCAAATGCTTTCCTCTTTTTCTCCTTCATCGGACACCTCTCAACTTTTCTTGTCAATAATATACATATTTCATCCAATAAATTCTATTTGCGCGACAAATGACTGTAACGCTTCTCAGAGATTTGGTCCTTTTGTCCCTGTGTCTTTAATTAGTCATCCTCATCTCACTCATGAGCCTCGCAACGCTCCAGTGACACGACAGGTAAAACCTTCCATCCAGCAGGGCAGAATTGCCGCAAGGATGACTACCCATCCATTTTTTTGTGTTCGGTTTTCATGAGTAATCATTTGCTTGTCTATCCCTATCAAGGATTCCGGCATTAAAGTCGAAGATCGAAGGAGGAAGACTTAAGGAGGGAAGGCAGTGCGGATCTCTAAGGGAACGGACCAAGGTAACGCAGTCTCAAATGAAGCGATGTATCCGGCGAATCTAAGCATGGCCCTCCCGCATATGCTACACACCCACCGACTGGCTAGCTGTTAGCCGCCAGTGTCTAGCCGTTCACGGAGAGAGCGTTAGCAGTTAGGCAGCATCGATGAGAGCGCGAGCGCCTGCCTTAGTGGCGGGAAATCAAAGGGCAAGCAAGGGGGACAAATTTCTTGGGTTTCGGGCCGTTTCTCATAGTTGTTCTTCATTCCGGCACCACTGACAACCTCTATCTTGAACAAAGCGCATTTTTGCACAGCGTTAGACCGCTTACAAGGGTAAATCGAAGGATGCCCCGAGCAGACTAAACTAAGGAGGACTACTTACTGTAGTCATTTAATGGGCCGCAAAACATCTTGAAGTTTGCTTTTGATTATTTATTTCGTGCGATAAGCGCATTATCTCAAATACAAACTGCATTTTTCCCTGTTTTTTTTTGAAAGGACAATGTGCAATTTTATCACGGTGAAGCATATGACTCGTCCCTTCATAGAACACTCGACAGCAACACCCCACGATGGACACTGTCTGAATTTTTGTACCCGGAAGTGAAAGCAGGGGTGCAAAATGTGGAGGTAGTGATGTAAAAAAGGAGAAAATTACCGTCAAAAGCTATCATTGAGAGCTTGCGCGTTTTTGTGATTCGGCTTTCAACGGCAATGAGACACTGAGCGTGGAAGAGAGGGCATAGGCGCGCGAGCACAACGGGTGAGAGGGTGCAGACACGAGCAGCTGCAATGAGGAGATAACAAAGTGGTGAAGCAGTCTTGGTTCTAGCATCTGTCACACAGTTTTAAGCTGTGAGAACGGACAAATCTACACATTTCATGGACAGCTCTACCTTACCGTCAAGGGATTGGTTTACCAGCTCAAGATGAGAGCTCAGAGCTCCTCAAGGCCCGCTTTTCGCTGACTTGAAAAATCAAAGGATTCTATGAAGAGAGGCCATATACTGGTTCCCATAGGTTCTCCACACATAGTGGTATTGGATAAGATAGCGCAGCGGCAAAGAGGGACCAGACGCATATCTATGAACGATCCGATCCATGCGATCCGCAATCGCTCAGATTTAAAGGCAGAGGCCACGATAGCTGGATGGTGAAGCGGCATCACCCTCTTCCAAACCAGTACTGTTCTCACCTATGCATACAAAGCCTATCGTAGATGTATCAAAACACTTCCTTTTTTTCTGGTTCCTGCACTTTTCACTCAAAAAACCTATCTTCGATATGGCAATCCTTCTGAACTCTCGCCTCTACGCTGGTTCTCCACAAGTAATTCCCGCTCGCAAACTTCCAGGGACTTAGCTACAAAAGCAAAGAAATGCAAGTACCTGATGTGATAGTACAATTTTAGTACATTTTTTATGAGCCACACATAAAGGTCAACTCATGACTAATGGTTGGCTTCCTATTCTGGGGAAACAGCGATCCGACCAACAGGTCAATCAGCTTGCGACCTCTTTATCAGAGTTCGCTACTGATAAGGATGCTGGCAATGGAATATGCACGCGCTGATATCACCTTTATGACCCAGTTATTTTCAACTTCAGCACTCTGAACTACATAAATATCCTCCCTTCAAAAAAAAACGAGAAGAGCGTCGGGTGCAGACCATACACCACAAGTGACGACGGCCTCCAAGTAAATCTGGTTAGTAGTGGTTCATAGTGATAGCTGATTTTTGGTAAATGATAGTTGTAATTAGTGACAACTGATAGAATACAACTGCAACAGGCTAATCATTTCATTGGCAGAAAATACATTTTGTGGAGGCCGTCGTCACTTGTGGTGTATGGTCTGCACCCGACGCTCTTCTCGTTTTTGAAAGGGAGGGTATTATGTTGATAAAAAAAACTGTATATTTATCTGATAGCCCGGTGTGATAATTTATTGGGGGACACTGCGGCGGCGCGGCTCTCTGTTCAACTGATCCTCCACAAAGCCAGGTACAGTTACTACCGCCGTCATCCACGGCGGGCAATTTCGAAATACGCGCCATCGGAGACTAAGCCTTGGAGGAGCGGATGAACGAAACGCCGCACCGCCGCGTGGTCTCCCCTAACTAAGTTAGCACCTCCAGGGGCCGTATGCTATCCTCCCCGAAGGGGTTGGAGGACGAAAAGTCCTCTTGAATTTTCTCTGTCTCGCATCTGGGATTGCCCTGATAAAGGACCTACACATTTTAATGTATGTATGTAGGTAAAAGTAAACATGCACTGAAAATGAAGAACCTCAATCGCTTCAAACAAATAAATTTAAAGGAAACTTTGGATCACTTAAACTTCGGGGAAGCATAGCATGCGGACCCAGGTGTTCATTTCCTCCTTTCCCTCTCCTAACTACTTTTTATAATTCAATTCATTTTTTTCTATTCCAGTTAGGGGGCATCATGATGCAGTTTCTCGGCGAGCTAATGTAAACTCGAACATTCCAGCTTCTCACGCATGTCAAGTGACTGCCCTCACCCCCACCCCCTAGGCTGGCTACACTCCCCCTGGCTCAGAGTTACCGTAGCTTTTTTGGAGTCACCGCACCATGATGCCCTGGAAAGACCTCATTTTCCAATCATTCTATCTGCCACCTGTTCACAGTAACGGGGTCTATACTGGTGTGTACAGGGGCATGTGTGTGGACGTTCTTGCCGGTGCCAGTATTTCATTTTTTTGCAAGAGGGAGGAATCCTCCGGAGATTGACGTGAACATAATTGTTCGCTTAAACTTTTACATCCACCTCCGTCAGCTTCGGTTCTCCTAGAAAAAACAAGTGATTACTTAGCAATATACTTTGTAGCACCACAATGCCCCCTTACTGGATGAGACCCACATAACTGTTCTCTTTTGTTGCTTATATTAATCACAGATAAACATAATCATAATCATAGCCGACCTGAAGACACGTCAAACTCTTTGAGTTTGTCGACAAATTTCACCGCGTATCGCATCAAATCCAGATTGCCTTCTTCGATACCGTATCTGAAGTTGTGAAAATATGAGATTACAAAAAAAACTGTTTGATTGGATAACTTCTAAAAAATCGAGTGAACTATAGTACCTGTAAGCTTCCGCATAGTTGAAGAAATGCTTAAAGAAATCCATATCTAGAATGAGCTGCGTTTCGGAATCGGCCAAAAATTGTGTGAATAACGAGCCCATGATCTGGAAAATAGCAACACATCATGAAAATAGAAGGCGGAACTTCCAGTAGGACAAGATACGGTATTTTTTAATACGTCAAAAAAGCAATATTGTACTTGCATGTCCTCCTCATCGAACTCGTCTTCTTCACTGAAGAGAGATTCACGTTGATCGGATTGTTCCCGTTCATCTTGTAGATCACTTTTCAATGCAGCAGCTTCATCGGCTGAATAGTAGGTTTTTTCCTTGGGTGTTGGCTATCAATTTTTTTCAACTAATATCCGAGAAGGTCTATCGACACAGAGGCCAACATACGTTTTATAATTAATGGTAAGCAATTCACCAGATAAACAAAAAATATTTTTGATGTTTGTGCTTTTGTTTCTGAATCCTTTGAATTCCTTTTGCTTTCCGGCTATTTCCCTGCTTGTGTCTCTTATTTACCACCCCCTTCCCCCACTTGGGTACCAGCATGTCGTTTGAGACGTACGAAAATATAACAACATAAAATAAACAAGAAATAAATAAAAAAAACAGTAACAGTCCAGCAAGCGAGATGAGGTTAGCATAAAAACATTTGAGAGCGAAATCGTAAATAAATTTCGGCAGCTTAGCAGGTTCGTCAAAATTCATCTTAAAAATAAAACTTGAGAATAGGTCCGTGATGTTGCACACCAACTACCCTTATGAGAAAAGAAGAGTCCATACTACAAAATGTTCACCCCAAATATTAGAAGGTAAAAGAATGAGCGCCAAAATAATCTCTCGATTTCTGGATAATAAAAAAGCATGAGCATATAACGAAAAAGCAGCCTTGTCAGCAAACCATTTCTCGAATGCGCCATGCATTCGACTTCTGTTCGAAGCAGTGGTGGAATCTGATTACGATTTGGCTCGTACACTAGCTTGCGGAGTCAGCTGATGTACTGGTTACTGTCTCTAA